TTAAAGAATTTAGTAAAGCAGATATATTATTAAAACAAATTAATATTTCAACTCAACCTATTATTGAATCTCATTCACTAACATATCATACAAGTCGATTATTTGATCTTAATAAATTAAATGAAGAGAAAAAAGAGATTGTTGATTATAAAAATGATCTGTATGATAAATCTGATAAATCAGAAAACAGTCAAAATATTCAAAGTATTAGTAATTATTTAAATGATTTTTTAATTTTAAATGAATAGAAATTTAAATTTAAATTTTACGGAAATTGATATTAGTAAGTAAAGCATTTATGTTAAAATTTTTTTTATATATATTAATATAATTTACTAATATTTTTTAAAATAATGTATCTCTTAAAATTTAAGAAATTTATTATTTATATTATTATATATTTTTTGTTTAGTTTTAAAAATTGAATAATTGTTGATTTTTAATTATCAATTATTATAATGAAAGATATATCTGTTTTATTTCACAATAGAAAATAATCTTTATAATCTTCTTTTGTATCAAGATCTTGCAGACTACAAAATTTTATAACACTTTAAACATATTTATATTTTGATAAGTCACGTCAAGTTCAAAAATAGAAGGCAATTATAATAAAGATATTTTTTACTTAAAATTATCATAAAGTACGTAAGCAATGATTGTGTAAATGATTCAAGTTTAATAAAATAAATTATTCTCCAATCACAAAATCATGACATAAATGAAAATATTTAACCTTTTTCAAATAGAAAGAGGATTTACCTATTTAAGCCCTAATACATATTTAATTTTAAATTTATTTTAAATATTCCTTCTACTACAAAATAAAACTCACTCTACATAATTTTGGATAACAAATAAATAAATAAACGTGAATGTCAAAGAAAACTCTGTGTTTGCAAATCCTACTTCCAAATCTAAAAGGTGAATTAATTAATAGTGGATCTGAAAAAATGAAGATTATTTTACAGTTACATTCACTTGCTTTCATGTGATTAGGTGAGAGATTAAAGGAGAAATTAAAAATTTCAAATTATCACAAAATGTTTTGATCTATACTAAATTAAATAATTTTCGATTTATTTAAAATAAATGGCAAATTTTTTTCAAAACAAAGAAAATTTTGAATTTACTGCTTAATACATTTCCTTATTCCTGAGAACTATAGATTAAAAGATGATAAGTTAGAATGTAGATTACTTGATTAGGCTGAATCAAAGAAAATAAAGGTTAACCATGCTGATATTTAAGATGAAAATAACTTATTCTTTTTTTAAAATGAAAAGGTTTACTTCCGTAGTTTGAATAAAGGGAAACTTGTAGAAATTTTGTGAAATATAGACATCAAATGTTAAGTTATTTGTTAAGTTATTATATATTTTGAAGTTACATCTGCCACTAAGTAGATGTAAACCAGAGAATAAAAGCTCTTCGAGGGAGACCACATTTTGCGAAAATTGGGCTACTATGAACACGTAAGTGAAGCCTTAGTAGAAATAGCCGAAACAGTTTTCTTCTTCAAAGAAGCGCGCATAAGGACACACGAGGAGAAATGGTAAATAGAATACATGAGTCATTGAAAGCAAACGCTCGTGATACATACAACTGTGAACGAATTTTTTTGGTACTTGATGACGATGCCAATGCAAGGACCATGAAGAAAATCTGGGTGGATAACTGATCATAACATTAATTTTACACAGTAAATATGAAAAATCAGGATTAAATAATTGTAGGAGTTGAACTGGAATGGTCACTATACAAACTTCACAAAGACTCATTATAAATAATGAGCGATAGTGATTCAGTTAAAATAATAATTGAATTATTTATAACTTGTTTACAACCAAATATTTTAGATTTTAGATTCGACAAGGATATGATTAGTATGATAAAGATATTTTTATAGCCACTTTAGACTATGTTGATTAAATGATTTTTTAACCTGAATGATGAGACAATAAATAATTAATGATTTGATTTCCTAATTTTTAAATTATCATCGAAATATAGCAATTGTAAGTGAGTGAGTACGAAGGCATTTTACTCTAACAAATCAAGCCCAAGCATTTATGCATCATTTTAAAATCATTCGAACTCTCTCATATTATGGATTTTCCAATAGTCATATTAAAAATCTTCCTGAGTTATTTATTTGATATTAATATTAAGAAAATTGGAAAGAGATTTTTCTTGATCTTTCAAGTACACAATCTCAAAGCAAATGTCAAATAGAATATCTATTGTTCGTATTTTAGCATAAGCTGCTGCAATTCATTGTATAAATAAATTTTACAATTAGGAGTATATGTTATCTTTTCAACTTCATTTTCTTCTAATTCTGTGAGTAATATTATTACTTGAAGATTTAACTTAACAACGTATTTTGTCGTCGAGGAACAGGCTTGCCATAATTTCATGTTAGAAAATTTTTAATTAAATACCTTTAGACAATAAATTTAATATGAAAAATACTGGATTCTGCCTGTAAAAAAAATTGAATGCTAACTTTGATTTTAATTTAGAGGTTCATTTGAATTGCTGCATCGGAAACTTGTATAACAATGCAACGTACCTGATTATATCAAACCCGACATTGATGCAATACCTATTTACGTTTAATGAGAATAGATTTTAGTTAATGTTAATAAATTTATTTAAAAATATAAACAATCCGCTCATATTTCTATAAATATAAACAACTGAGTCCAGCTATACCATAAAATAGACCTTAAATTTAAAATCTAATATGCACCATAAATTCTACCTGCCTTATATTTATTTGTTGATAAGTTGGATCTATAAGAAGAAGAATAAGTAATGACGTTCCATAAAAGTAGAATAAGAAATATCATTGATAAGGCGATCAGTTGATATTTTTCCAGGAGATGCTGAGATTTGCATTATTTTGAGAAGTTGCTGCAATTACTTCAGTTTTACATCTAGTAGGATGAAGAATAGATAGATATCACGTGTTAAATATTTTCAACATGTTTAAATATAATAATAATAAACACATTTTTTTAAATAAGGCAAGCTTTTTTAACATTTCTCGACAAGCTTAATTATCTGTCATTATTAGGCTCTCACTACCTTCGATCCATCAAATTTATTTAATAATGAATAAATTAAATTTCTCAATACAATGTCAAGTGCTTTACAATTATACTATAACAGTACCGACATAAATTATAATAAAAGAAAAAGTGTCAATGTAGTGAAGTATCTTGAGTCGTATTAGTAAAGTTTCTTATACAGTATATAAAAAAATATTTGACAATCTTGACGTCACTGCAGAGAACAGCCTTTTATCTCATAAAAGATAATATTACGAATCTACATAAGAAACTAGAAGTTTCCAAAAATGATATTGTAACCGTAATCGAAAAGAGCGTTGTGCTAAGGTTAATGATTTTTTTGTCAACTAAATTTATCATAACAATGGTGTGACTCTATTACACATGCATCACATGGTGATGAATCAAAAAAAAAATTATATAAATGTGAAAATTTGACTTCTGATGTTTCGATGGAATACTATAAACTCTTTTCCTGTGAGTATTGTTCTTTAGAAGATTTCTGATTGCATTGTTTTTTTGCAATAATTTATACGAAATTAGCAACGAATCAAGTTCTTCAAAAGGTTGTAACAAGATTAAAAGCTTTTTAACACAAAGAAGGTTGGTTGAATTTTGTGCTGTTCACATGGACTGTATAGTGATTTCTTGCGCCCTTGAAGGGTTCATCCCGACGAGGGTGAGCAATAAATCTTCCGTAAGTAGTAAAGAAAGTTATTTACCAAACTCTTTATTTTTTGTTAGGTTCGTTCTAGTGGGAAGATGAGGCTCTGCATCTCAATCAAGTAGCTGAATTAGATCTGGACATGTTTTGATAAGGTCCTCTATCCTTGAAACGTGATCTGTTATGTGCCTTCCTTTATACAACAATGAAGTTGGATAGTTGTATACGTAGCGCCGGTAAAAAAAAAACGAAGCAGAGATACGGACATAGCTTCCTCGTCAAAAAAAAATAGGAAATCCGATGGATAAATATAATAGTATATCAACTCATCTAAGCTACAAAATCGGCAGCCGGATAGTGTAATAATCACGTAAGTCGGTGTTAATCGTAGAATTATAATAGTGCTTATTTACATTTTGACATTTTATATATTCTTTAGACTCAGTTTATAAAAGTATAAACTTTAAACAAGTTAAAATTGAATACTTTAAAGGTTTGGACCGGTCTAAAACACCTTTAACCAGTTAATAACCGTTTAAGACCTCACTATAAATTTGGGTAGTGCTGGCGAAATTTTTTGTAATCACAAAAATAAAATTTTGGCTGAAAATTAAATTTCGGCCAGTGTTATAATTAATTATTTTAACCGGCGGTTAATTAACTGGTTAAAAATTAACGGTTCCAAGGAGGGTGTAACACAGTGGATAAATATATCTAGAGGATTATATCAGACATTAGTGTTTTTGAAAACAATAATATTTAGAATGAGTATTGTCTCAAAGTACACACGCTCATGCTGTTTTGGAGGTAAAGAAACAAAGCACATATCTGACTTAGCTGATGAGGAAAGGCATCTGTTGGAATGATATCCACATTTTTGATCAACAGCTGCCATTATGCCAAGTTTTCTACATACTGAGTTTTGGTAGAATAACTTACTTTCATGAGAGGTTTTGCCTTATTTTTTGCAGATGATTTCTCAAAGATCACCTCTCACTGTTATTGTCGAGAAATCGCATGAATCTTACTTTAGGTTTAAAAAAAATCAAGCGATGTATTTATTTCTTTTTTTTTGTATATTAATGATAATAGTTTTAGGCATCTGGTTTTTATTTTCAATGTAATCTTTTACATTCATCCCTACTTTCTTTAACTTATTTATTTAATATAATTAATTATAATTTTTATTATAATTTTAACTTAATTAAATTTTTTATTTAAAAAATATATTTCTATATGGGAGTAAGTTATCTTTATTGATTATTAATATTTCATTATACTTTTTATTATAATTATATTTAATTAATTTTATTTAATATAATATATGATTATAAGGTGATAAGATATTTTTTATTAGTTTTTAGTATTTAATTATTTTTTTACTGTAATTTAAAATCTACTAAATTGTTTTTTAAAAATCAATAATATATTAGATAGTAAGTTATTTTAATTAAATAATTTTGTTATAATCTAATTTTAACAGATAAATTTATTCAAGAAATTTAAATTCATGCTTAAATAAAAGGCAATTATTAAAATGCATTTACTAAGATAAACTTGAAAGTATTGAGAGGTAAAATATTCAATAAAACAATTGCCTCTCCAACAAAAAGTCTCTTGTTTTCTACTATTACAACAAGAGAATTTTTACATTAATTAGCATTACTGGATGATGAATTGGATGCTGTAAAAAATGGAAAACTTATATTGTAGAATAGAAATTTGAACTAGGAAATGTAATCAGCTAAATGGGAATACATTATAACAGACAGTTTTTGTAGAAATAAATATTTATCCATTTAAATATCTTCAATACATAACTTTCATATTTATAATCTAAAAAAAAGAAAATCGATTTATATACTATATAACAAGAATGTTATTTTTATGTGATTGTAATTTGGTATAATAATTCTTCAAATCACATAATATTTTTGATAATTCAGTGCATTCGTATTTGTTAACTTTTTTCCTAAAATAAGAAGAGATTCTATGACATGATTGAATTTTGAGAAATAATTTCTGAATCATAGCAGATCCAAGATTCAGCCCTATTGTGCAAGATTAATTCTATTATTACGCAAATAAATTGCGTGATATTGCTAAATATTGTTATGCCACAAACTCAGATCTGCAATTAATCTCAGATTTTGCAGTGAAATCTCTGATCGGCAATTGTTCTCACGCAATATTGCTGAATCTGTTAATCTTAGATACATAATTAAACTCGTAATAATTTGTGAAATTAGTGATTAATGATAATCTACTGCATAAAATTAAACTGTGCAATATTGCGAAGAAATAAGTCTGCCCAAAATTGTTCAATTTTATTTATTTACTATTTATAAAACCTTTTTGCTTTATCAATAAAACAAGACCACACCGTACAATTATATGACTAACATGGAGAACATTCTACCCTCCAAGAAATTGCTTCACAATTGCTTTTATATAACCCAAGTTTTTCTGTCAAACATTCAAAAATTTCATAATGTATATCAAAATGATTTATTTCCTGATGCTTATAGCCTGTATTCCAGCTGCTATTGCTATATATGTCAAAGTTGCAGGAAATGTGACTAGCAAAGATAATTTTTAACGTAAATATCTTAAAGCTAACGTATGCTTTCAGGCAGATATTAAATACTACAGTTGCAGGGTCATCGATATGAATTCACTAAATGGAAAATGAACCTGTTCTTCTGATGGACAATGGTATTTTAAAGTGATCTTATTTAATGATAAACAAGGAAGAATTGATTATTCAATCTTATTTGGAAACTGAGAATCACAAGTACAATCATCTGTTGATACCAACTCTGTTTGTACAGAACCTAAAACAAATGAGTTTACTTGTGAATGGGAGATTAAAAATCACGGATTTGACATGTAATATCAAAACAAATGCAAAAATTTATCATCCGTTTTGACTATAAAGTTTATGAAAATTTGTTTAATGTTAAAGTTCTTTTTATTTTATACAAATGTAAATCAAATAGTAATTGATCTTTCTAGGTAATTTATGAAAATTCAGTTATCTAATTTTATTTTATACAATTTTATAGATTATAAAATATTATAGTTCATAGTTTTAATATATTATACATGATATTACATTTGTTAAAAAAATTGATATTTTTACATATAAGATTAATGATATTAATAACCAGCTGTACTAATTTTTGATTATAAAATTTAATATTTTCTGAATAATTTCACATTACCTTTAGGCAATTAAAAAATGCATATCTAAAATTGTTTTCACACTATTAACTTAGTAATTGCAGTATAAAGTTTTAAAATTTTTAATTTTTATTTTATATATTTAGCGGATGTTAAATTAAGTCTGAAAAATTAAAATCCTTTAAATATAATAAACTTTATCAAGGATCCTGATATTTTATCTTATAATAACTTCATATAAAAAATCATTAAAAGTTAAGTTTTATTTTGACAAATACCGAAATAAACCACTTGCAAAAAAAACTATTTTGACTGTTATTATACATTCAAACTAGCTCTTCAATAATTTCATCATTAATCTCTATAGGAATTTCTATTATTTTATAGATTATTTTAGGGATATTAAACATTTTAATAAATATGACAAAGAAATAAATCTATTAATAAAAAATTAAATTAAGATCAAGAAATGCTAAATTTGAACTTTGATGAAATGTATTAATAGACTGACCATACCTTAGAATAAGTTAAAAAGTAACACATGTAAACAGGTGATGTCACTTCTAATACTAGATTTATTTTCACTGGTGGAGAAATAACGTATCTACAGTATATGTAGTTATGAACAAAATTTTAAAATCAAATTAAGCTTCTCTACTAATTTACTTTATATGTGCATTGAATGAAATAATTTAGTTACAGGCATGTTAGTTGTACAAAATTGTTAATCATTTTTGTTAGAATAGCATACATAAAACAGGATCAAATTCTAGATGAAATAAGTTGCTTAAATTCTTTAAATATTTAAATTTCAGAAATGTTAATAAGAGAACAACTCTTATAAATATAAAGAATCTGAATATGGGAGGTAGGCTATTAAAATTACATTACAGATTATATGATTTATGTTCGTAATTTGCTTTTAATAGCAAACCTCCCATATACTAGCCAATGACGCTATAAAGTTATATGAAATGATAATATATTTTGTGAGTTAATATATTTTTCACATACCCTGTAAAAAAAATTAGGTTGAATTATTCCATGTTTTATATTCCGTCTTTTTTCCATTTATATAAATCTGAGTTTTTTTCATTTATATTAATATATATAAGATTCCGTATTTTTTCAGTAAATGTAGCATATTTCGGGAATTTTTATTATCAAAATATGGAAATTATTCAAAGATTACACTGAAAATATTGAACATTTAGTTGCCAAATATAAATTATTAAATAGTTTCGTTTTACTTAAAAATTCTGGATTAAATATGGTAATAATATCAATATTATTCAAATACAAGCTATAATTAAAACAAATGAAACTATAGAGTTTTCACTGAAATAAGCCAATATAAAAGTCTACCATTTCCTCAGTATCCAAATATTAAGTTATAATAAGGCCAATAGAATCATGGAGTTTTTACTAAAGTAAATCGGAATAAAAGTTTACTATTTTCTGAAATGAATATAATTTATTAATTTTCTCGATTCTTACCAGTTTTAGCTCTCTTACTAGATCTTGTTTGACGTAAAGTTTCCTTTATCTTTGGTTTTACTTACTTCTTTTTACCTTATAAAACAGAAAATAATAAGTATAGTTATAATGATATAAATACAAGAATAAGACATTAACAATATTACCTCTACCTTGAGAAGTATTAATAGTTTCGATGGTAGCATCAGTGGAATCTAAAACATCAGTTGCAGTTGTAATAAGAGGTGTAATTGTTATTATTTTGTATTGAAAGTAAGTAATATAAAGTTTTGTAATAAAAAACAAAAATAATATTAAAAAATATAATTATACCTTCGGAATCTTGTATATCATCGGCTACTTCATTAAGAATGTTTTTTATGTCTTTTAATTTACGCTTTTGTGGTAGAGGTCGATTATTTTTCTTTGGTGGTAATATTAATGTAAGGTCTTGAAAAGTATTAACAGTTTCGGTAGTATTAGTGGAGTCCAAATCATCTATTGTATGTAATATAAGATGTATTGAAAGTAAGGTTATTAATAAAAACAAAAATATTAAAAAAATA